CGTTGGTTTAGCTTAGCAGCCTGTACAATGAAATGTCTCTCTGTACTTAGCTTCTTCACAAACAAAAAATTTAAAGAAAACACAACAGTATACAGAATTCAGACTCTCTGTATATATTCTATGTTTAGGTGACTTTTTTTAACTCCTTTTAATCTATGACTATCTATACTCTTTAAAGACTTTGTTTTATTTTTTAAAAAACCATTTACTTCTTTTTATAACTCTCTGTACTCTTTTTCTTCTCTCTCCCAAGCCTATGTACATTTATTCAGCACTGTGACCCATTTAGAGGTCTTTTATGTCTGAATCTGTCTTATTGTGAATCTGTAATTCTTTACTGTCCAGGAGCACTTCTTAAAATGCTAAGCACTTCTTAAGAACTTAAGCTGCACCATTACTAGTGGAAATACAGAACTTCCTGCGTGTTTCACACAGTCCAACATGGTGGAAATCCACTAGTGCCTGAGACTGCTGGGTGGGAGCCATCCTTACCACCTCAACTCTGATAACCAGTAGGCCCATGCTGTCACTAAGTAACTTGCAGTACGCTATCCACAAATCCCATTTAAATGCTTGATAGCTGAACCTCCCAAAAGAGCCAGAACCGTTGTGTTGGTGAACCAGGAAATTGCCATCTTTTTTTAAAGAAGTTGCACAGTTTTTACTGGGCCCTGTGGTACCTTACTTGCTGCAAGTCCATCTAGAAAAAATGTGACTACCAAGAAACCGCTAAACTCTGTTCCTTTGTGTCTAGAATTCTTTTTCAAGCTCTCTCAGGTTTTTAAGTGGATTTTAGTTGGCCACATGGGCGCCAATTTGTAGTGAGGAGGAAGTGAGGCTGCTAGTTAGTTTCTGGCCACTTAGCCCCGAAATAATTACACAAAAACTGCATTAATTAAATCACCGCTTGGCCCATTAGCTCTAGTCTCTTATTGGCTAATTCTGACATATTAATTTAACCCATTTCTAGTAATCTGTATATGGCTACGTGACTGTGGCTTACCGGCTAAAGTTCTAGCATCTGGTCTACAGTGGGGCTACATGGCATCTCCCTGACTCCACCCTTCTTTCTCTCAGCATACAGCCTAGCTTTCCCCACCTAGTTCTGTTCTTCCCTGCCATAGGCTCAAAGCAATTCTTTATTCATTAACCAATAGAAGCAACACACAGACAGAAGGGGCATGCATGGCTTGTCCTGATTCTTAATGCCACGCCTCTCTTGCTGTCAGGCCAGCATGCCAAGCCCATTTCTTCAGTGGTGGACTCTGACTAAACCTTGCCCTGTATGTGTGGCTATTGGAAAGGTCGTGCCAACACCTATTTTGATAGACAAGTGTTACAGAGATCAATGAAAGGGAATCAAAAAATCTTTATTATGTTGGAGACATCTACCGTATTGCCCCAGCTCCCATCATCAAATAAAACTGTCATTCTTTTGGCTCATTGCCTGCATCTCTCAGGCAGCAAGTGGATTCCTCTGGGTTAAAGTCCCAAGGTTTCCAGAATGGCATCCTTCTAAAAGTCAACACCCCAAATTCCAGACTGGAATGGTGATCCACCTACCTTCTGCCTATAGAAGGTAATACTACATCTACCCATACAACAGATGTGGGCCAGAACAAACATGAGTAACACCATTAAACAATATGCTCAATTACTGAATATTCTTATTATTGTTGGGATTATCTGCAAGGGACAGATTGGAGGGTACAGAAAGTAAGCGGTTGTGGGGCTAGGGGAAAACTAACCTCAGAGTGTCCAAGGCATGGCAGGGCATGTACCAGGCCTATCCAGGAGCCATCAAGGGCCTATATCTACTGGGTCTTTTGCTTGCCCTTCTGTGGCTTCTTGACTTGAAAGACTTGCCTTGAGGGAGAAGCTGGCATCTTCCTGCCTTTGAATGGGGAGGACATCTTCATAAGGGCTTTTATTACAGCATCCTCTACCGTGTTCTGGCCTCCAGGGCCTTGGAAGACACTGCTTCATCTCTTGAGAGGCTGAGGATGTGTGTCTAGTTTTGGATGTAGGATGGTCAGGTCTGGCTTTGATGTCTTCACAGCTTGAAGATCCCTCAGTGACATGTCACTCAGCTCCACAGAGGTCAGACTGCAGCCACATGCATAAGACAGATGGGACAAGGATCAGTTAGGGGCAAGGGTCGATCAGCTGGGGCAAAGAACCCAGGTGAGAGTGGAGTGGTTGGAGCTGTCTGCTTAGCTATAACAAAGACACAATACCAGAAGCATTGGGATCTATTCAAAGTTGAGAGCCTTTGAGGGAATACAGGCAATGATTAGGGCCACTGGCCCAGATTGTCTCCACAGGTTATGGATATTTATTTGAGACCCAGAGCTTTAGATAGAATCATAGAAGGTGAGTCTTTGTAGGCTGGGCAGCCAGATCTGTGTGTGAGCTTGGTCTCACCTACTCTAACCTAGAGTTGATAGGCTGTGTCCTCAGCACCATGTCTCCCCCTGCCTTCACCTGAGTGTCTTTAGGCAGCAGTTAGGGTATTTCAGGGATGAACACAGGCAGGACACCATGTAGTTAGGCAGCTGACAGCCACTGAGATCCAGGGTGGTCAGGACCCGGCTCTGCTGGAGCAGGATGGCCAGGTACTGGATTGCTTCTTGGAGGTTAGGTGTTTGCATCCTGTGGGAAAAGCTGACTTTAGAGGTGGCAGGAGTTGGAATCCCCTCCCTCCGACCCTTCAAAACCAGGCCTCACCTGAGTGTCTGCACCTGGCACATGGGCCAAACCAGTCCTTCACTCAATAAACGCAGGCCTGCCTCAGTGAGCCGACACTGGAGGAGGCCCAGCTCCCTTAGAGCAGGGGCTACCTTCAGGGCCTCAGAGAGGTCTCGACAAACTGCATCAGGGAGTTTGCAGCGCGACAAGCTGTGGTCAAAAAGTGTGTAGGTTGGTCTGTAAGCCCCTGACCGCTTTTCTGCCTCCAGCTGAACCAACTACCTATCCCCTTGTAGTCTGATGACCAGTCAAGAAATGTATAGCTTTTCATAATTACCCTGTGGGTTCAGGTGGGCCGTCATCCCCAATGGTTGAGCACCTTTACTATTTTTGATTTTTTCTCTATTACAAATCATGAGGTGAGCACCTTTATGTACTTAGTTTTCTGGGCCAAGTCTTTTTGGTTCTTTTGTTTTATTTTCAGGTTGCTGGACCCTTACCCCCAGCTTCCTACCTCATCCTCTATTGATGTATGACTATCTGCTTCACCGTGGCCTGCCACTATTATTCCTATAACTTTCCTTACTTTTCCTTACTCTCTGCTCAACAGTGATAGCTAAAAGTAAGAAGAAACCTATCATTTTCTAAAAACTCTACCCGTGGAGCCTCAGTAAATCTTATATCAATCTTGAGGTAGAATTATCTGTGTATATATACATATATTCCAAGACAGGGTTTTTCTGTGTAGCCCTGGTTGTACTGGAACTCACTTTGTAGCCCAATCTGGCCTCGAACTTAAAGATTCACCTGCCTCTGCCTCCTGAGTGCTGGGAGTAAAGGTGTGAGCTCCCACTGTCAGTTTATTAATATCATCATCATCACCATATTATTATTATTTTTTTGAGTACATACTTACATTCTTTTTTAAAAGTATTTGTTTATTTATTATATATACAATGTTCTGTCTGCATGCATGCCTGCATACTAGAAGAGGTAACCAGAGCCACCAAGTAGTTGGTGGGAATTGAACTCAGGACTGTTGGAAAAACAGCCAGTGCTCTTAACCTCTGAGCCATCTCTCCAGTCCTTAGGCTGGCTATATCTTACAGGGAGGAAACCAAAGCATGGGCAGACTGACTTGCTCAAGGCGCAGAGAGGCAGGAGGCACCAGCTGGCGACCCCTCTGAACACTTTCCTTCCAAGAGATGGTCCAGCAGTCTCCAAGAGCACCAGGGAGCTTCCTTCCATGGGAAAACACTGTTGCTTTCCCCACATGCTGCGCTGTACACAGTTTCCCACAAAGCCTAGCACCAGCCTTCCTCTGCCAGAACTTAATAGTGATGAAACCTGGTTAAGCTCGCTACCTTTGCCCCTAGCCTTCCTCAGAGGGCAAATTCTGTCTCTGTACAGGGCACCCAGCTTGGAATCCCCTCCATGCTGAGGCATGGTGACTCACATCAGGATACGCAGGCCACATTGTTGGGACGTCATGGCCTCACAGAGTGGACGCAGCAGGGAGACTGGGGGTTGTTTCGTGGTGTTTTGAGAACTGTGGGGAGAGAAAAAACAAGGTTGATGGCCATATAATACTCCTTCCAGGCCTTTTTAGAAAATACTCAACTTTTTCCTTCATAATGTCCTAGGGTTCCAGAACTGTCTCTGTCACTTATCCCACATCCCTTGAGTTCCCCCCCATCCCCGCAACAAACTTGAACAAAACCCAAGAGTGGGCCTGTAGGTCCCTAGGACCAGGTCTTGCCACTCTCTTGGTGTATACTCTCAACAGATGGTGAGTCTTGGGATGGGTATTGAATAGAACTTAGTTCATAGAAAGTAAATGTCCATGTCTGTGTAGGAACCTAGGATCTGGTGGAGCTGGGCTATGGAATAGTGTGGTCAGTACCTCGGGGCCAGCAGCTGGACCCAAGTGGTGAAGTCAGGGTAGACTTTGAAGATAGACAGCAAATAGCGTTGGGATGGAGGTTTAAGGCTCAGCATACAGAGGACATGGCATATTCCAGAATGTATGAGAAACTGCATCAGGGAGGGGCCTAGGTTGCTTCTTGGAGCTACGTTGGCTGTGCTGGGAAGGTTGCCTTGATCTGCATGAAGCATGGTCAGGTCACTCTGGGGAAGAAGAGAGACAGCTGCCTTGCAAGGGGTGGGTTATCAGGTGTGGACATGTTTCCCAGCCCAAGTGGGCATGCGTACTGGGGTGCAAGTTGCACTGGTGAGGACAGCCTTGCCCTCTAGACTCACCCCTTCAGCCGCTTCATCAGACTCTTTTTCTTCTTCTCCTTTACCTCCACCAGCCCACAGTTGACCAGTTTCAGAGCCTGACCAGCTGGGCAGCACCGGATGCAGTAGCCCAGGATCTCGAGGTCCATGCGGGTGAACCGAACTCGCTCCAGGACTATCTCTGGAAGGTTGGTGAGAGACTGGCGAACGAAAGCATCCTCTTGTGTCTCATACAGGCAGTACAACAGTTCCAGTCCAAAGTTGAGGTCCTCCTCGTCCTCCTCTGGTTCCTCAGTGTCCTCCAGCTCATCATTCTTTTCTGGCCCTACTGGAGCCACCCTGGGGTGGCCCTGTCCTTGTACCCACCGTAGGGTGTCCTGTTTCACGCGTTCTGGCACCACACAGCCAAAATAACGTTCAACGTCACGAACCCTCTCTGCATTCAGCAGTCCGAAGAGGAAACGAGTGGTGAGTGCAAGATGACCACGCAACTCTGCGTCAGAGTTCAGGAGCATCTTCACACCTCCCGCGGGTGCCCCTGGAGCCCCCTCAGTCTCCAGGAGGTAGGACAAGGCAGCCAAGAACTCCTGGAAGCTTTGGTCAATGAACTGGTAGGTGACCTCCTCTTCTAGAACGCCCAGCACTTCTTTCTTGCTGAGAAACAGTGCCTGAACTTGGGAGCCCTGAAGCTTCAACCGCTCCAGGTCATTTTCTGAGAACTGTGCTTGATGCTTCAGGATGCCCTCCTGGGCCAGCCGGCACAGCGTGCGCAGTTCTCCCTGCACCCGGGGTCCATTGGTGCCTGCAGACTTCAGCATGCTGGCGATGAAGAGCAGGTACACCGCTGTAGTGGTCTTGGAGGTACGAGACAGATCCTGGCCCAACTCCAGTTGCTGCTGCAGCACCGTGCACACGATCCAGCACACGAAGGGCACGAAGCACAGTGCAAACAACGTCTCATTCTCTTTCACAAAGCGGTAAGCGCGCTCTGCCTTCCTCTCGTCCCGGAAAAACTTGAAGAAATACTTCTTCTTGTCTTTGTCTGAGAAGCCGCGTACTTCTGCGCACTGTGGTGAGCCCAGTCTGCCCCGCAGAGTCCCAGGGGCGACATTGCGTGTAGTCACCAGCAAGCGAGCCAAGGGCAGCAGCTCATGGCTCAGCAGTCCTCTCAGCACTCTCAAGCCACTTGTAGCTTCGAAAGGGTCTTTGCAGGGGGCGGCCTCCGGGGTTACTACAGCAGGCAGCTCGTCTGCACCGTCCAGGATGAACAGTAGGCGCTGTGGAAGCGCCAGTATCTGCCGCACCGGAGCCTTGCGGTCCGGACACTGGTCCAGGATCAGGTCGGCCAAGCTGCGCGCACCCGGACTCTCCAGCAGCTCGCCGCACGGCATGAAGAAGGCGAAGTCCACCTGGCCGTGGTATAGCTTGCCTGCTGCCCAATCATAGAGGATTTTCTTGGCGGCCATGGTCTTGCCAATGCCCGCCGGGCCCTGTAGTACCACGGTCAGCGGCCGCAGGCCCTCGTCATCTCCCCGGAAGAGCTTATTAAAGGTGTGCGTGTCCGAGCGTCTTGCGCGCTCAGGCTCCGGCACCTCCGACGGCCCCAGCAGCTCATCCTCCACGGCGTTGCTCCCCGGCGCGATAAGCAGCTTGGTGAAGCGCTTGTTGATCTTCACGGAGCGGGCGTTTCTCTCCTTCACCTTAGCGTGCTGTAGCAGCACGTGCTCGCGGTATTTCTTCTTGTACTCTGTAAGGTGTGAGACCGGGGAAGGAAGGGATGGACTTGCCGCCGCCCTGGAACCAACGCCTTGCCTGTTTAAATCTGGCCTCACTTTCTTTTATTGTGTCATGGCTTCCTCCTCCAAACTGCCTCACTCACATCCAAGGACCCCAAAGCAGTAATAGGACCCGTCACTTGTGTGCCCCGCCGAACTTACCTGACAGGGAGAGAACCACTGTGCTGGGGCCAAGTTCTGGAAGAAAAACCCGACGTAAGGCTCACTGAGCATGAGGGATGGGGCAAGGCATTTCCCTGGAAGCCTCTGGAACTGACTTCCCCCCTCCCCGTGCACGAATTTTTTGGAGTAGCACAGCTTCATGTGGTGGTGGAGAGGACGGAGTAAATCTCAACCGATTCTGCCCCATCCTACCCAACCCAGCTTACGCTGCAGCTGCTGCGCCTTGAGCCGCACGGCCACATCTCGAGCATCCGCCTTCTTCAGGATCTTTCGGGTCACATCCACCGCTGGCTCTGACCCATAAAACTGGGTCAGCTTGTCGACGAGGTCCACAGCGTCTGAGTTCTCCAGTCGCCCCCAAGGGATGCTCCTGCCATCCAGGGGCGCATCCCGCAGCTTGTGGCGAAAGCGCTTCAGCTGCTCCTGGCTCAAGTCTTCTAGTGCGGCTAGAATCAGCTCCCTTGCCAGCCCCTCCCGGCTGCGGATGGGCAGAGTTATTACTGATGTGCCCTCCTAGGGACCTGTCCCCAAACCTCCAAAGCACCCCTCGCACCTTGCACATTCTCCACAGGGAGCCCCAGGACAATATGCTTATAATTTCTAACTGCTTGTGGTGAAGTGGATCACTCCACAGCTAGCTTTCCTGTGTCCTCCTTTCACACACCTGTTTACACCAGATAAAGCCAGTTAAGGTCTCTACACGGGTCCTTGGTCCCTCTGACAGTGCCTAGCACAGCTCGCCTCAGGAATAGTGAGCGGACAGGACAGGCCCTGGCAGAGTTCCTAAATTCTGCATTCCAAGCCCGTAGCACACTTGAGTAAGTCCTTTCTGGACCACAGGCACCAGGGGCTGGGTCTGAGTTCCTTGTGGGGAGCAGACTCATAAATGACCCGGCTTGTGGTTGGGGGATGTGGGCCGGCAGAGTTGCAATAGAAGATGGGTTTTGAATCAGCAGCCCAGGACAGGTTCTCGAAGAGAGCCCACTTCTTTTGAAAGTTTCCCCCCGAAAGCCACACTCACCTGGAGCAGGGGGCCCCAGCCACATCCATGGAGCCCCGTCACAGGATCTAATGCTCAGAGGTAGATACAGAGAGCACAGGTGATCTTGTCCTGGCTAAACTGGTCTCATCCTGGGACTGGGTGCGGGGGTTGCTCAGCCTTGTCCATCTTAGCTCAGCTAGAGTCTCGCTGAGCGTCACAGGGCTCCCTCACTTATGCACAGTTCATACTCAAATGCTATACCTGGTGCTGACCTTTGGTTTTCTTCTATTTTATTCTATCAATACTCCTCCTACCAGGTGTGGCATCCCAAGTAGCTGTGTAAAGGTGATTCAGGTTGTCAGAAACCGCCTTAGGTGACTTTAATTTTGCAGACAGGGTGTGAGAGGCAAAGGGGGAGTGTGGGCAGGGCTTTGTGGAAAGGATCGCACCAGGGGAAGTGGGAGGGGGAGGGCCCTGAACTCTGCAACCTGCTAATCTTCCCACACCCAGCTAAAGGGCAGAGATTGGATGCTTCTGACCTTAGGACTCGCAGGTGACTACAGGGACGTGGAGTTCCACTGACTGTGGGGGATGGACGTGTAGATAGGCATGCGTGTGTAGCTCCACATGGCAAAGATAGCATGGCGTTCGAGTGCAGGAATACCTTTACAGTCCTTGAAGACACAGTCCACACATGCAAAGCTGTATTGCCTTTTACAGCGCATCCTTTTCTGTAAGTTCTTGAGAACAAGTCTGCGTTGTGTCCCTCTCATCACGTTTGAAGGTAGATGATGAGAAGCTAGGGCCAGTGAGATGGCTTCTCAGATAATGGCGCTCGCCTGACAACCTGAGCTCCGCCCCTGGAACCTACATAAAGATGGAAGGAGAGAACCAACTCCACGAAGTCGTCCTCTGACCCCCACACCTAAGCTGTGGAATGCATACCTCCCAACAGTCAGTGTTTGAAAGGGGGAGGCTGGGGAGGCAGACAGCACGTAAGAGAACTTGCTGCTCACGCAGAGGGCTAGTTTAGTTTCCAGCACCCACGTTAAATAGCTAACAACCACCTAATAACTTCAGCTTCAGGCCATCCAACTTTCTCCTCTGGGCTCTGCAGGTACCACCAAACGAGTGTGCGCGTGTGTATGTGTGTGTGTGTGTGTGTGTGTGCGCGCGCGCGCATGTGTGTGCACCACATGCATGCCTAAATAAAAAGAAAGAAGGGGGTGGAGAGATGACTCAATAGTTAAAAACACTGATTGTGAGTGGGGCAGTGGTGGCGCACACCTTTAATCCCAGCACTCTGGGTAGCAGAGGCAGTCAGATCTCTGAGTTCAAGGCCAGCCTGGTCTACAGAGTGAGTTCCTGGAAGCCAAAACAGAGAAATCCTGTGTGGAAAAAAACAAAGAAACCAAAGAAAAAACCAACAACAAAAACTGACTGTTCTTCCATAGGACCTAGGTTCAATTCCTAGCATCCACATGGCAACGCAAAACCATTAAGTACAATTCCTAGAGTTCTGACCTACTCTTCTGTGCATTCCAAGAATGCACAGGGTTTACAGACACACATGCAGGCAAAATACACATACACATAAAAATAAATTTCAAAAAATAAGCCCGCGGGGCTGGAGAGATGGCTCAGAGGTTAAGAGCATTGCCTGCTCTTCCAAAGGTGCTGAGTTCAATTCCCAGCAACCACATGGTGGCTCACAACCATCTGTAATGGGGTCTGGTGCCCTCTTCTGGCACAGACAGACTATTGTATACGAAATAAATAAATAAATAAATAAATAAATAAATATTTAAAAAAAAATAAGCCAGCGGCTGCTGGTGCATGCCTTTAATCCCATAATTTAGGAGAGAGAAGCAGGTGCATCTCTGTGAGTTTGAGGCCAGCCTGGTCTACAGTGCAAATTCCAGGACAGCCAAGGCAGTTACACAGAGAAACCCTGCATAACTCCAGTTCCTGGGGATCCAGCATCCTCACACAGACATACATGCAGGCAAAGCACTGGTACACATAAAGTAAAAATAAATTATTAAAACAAAGCAAAAAGATAGAACGAGAAGAAGCACTCAGGTTTGAAGTGTGGGTCTGACTGCTCTAAGCTTGAGGATCAGAGTTTGAATCCCCAGAGCCCATGTTGAAAAAACAACAACAAAAAAAGGCATGGTAGCCCACAAGAGATGAAATGTAATGGTGACATTCCCTGGGTGACTT